CCCACCCACCCACCCTTGCTTTTGGGGGTGTCAGTGGACATGGAAATAGGAGCAGCGGCGTTTGTGTTCAGGGTGAGTGCCCGTCGGGGGGGACTCCCTGTGTAGCCGCAGTCGGGGTTGCGTGTGCCTATGCTGGGCGCAGTTCCGAGGTGCTCGTCCCATTTATTTTTGAGTAGGATTGGTGTACATCGCATTTCAGGTTGTATATGCAGGACGCATGTTGTTGGGTGTATCGGACCGTTGCATGGTTGGGGGAGAGAGTGCACTCCTGGCTGCTGTGTGTGGCTATGTTGGTGCTACGCGCTTCCCCGTTACGTGCGTGACGAGTCTGATTGATTGGTGGATACGCATACATATTATATGGCTTGTATGTGGGTGTCCTGGTGTCCGGGTACATGCGTGTTTTTCTGCAGTGCGATGGGAAGGTCAGGGGAACAGAGAGTAGCGAGAGAAATGGGTTTTTTCTTTGGTGGCCCGGGTGTTTCGCCAAATGGCATACTAGTCTAATGTTGATGGGCCTAGTGGGGTTCTCTCGAGGTTTGCGTATCAACAAGCCGGTGTGGTAATATCAGCGGTTGTGGGGGGCAGACAGAGTTTATATGTCTCTGTCTGTTGGGTGGCTGATGTTTATACTGATCGTAAGGAGTAGACCGGGGGCGTGTGTGGTGTTGCCCTGCCTGGTCTCCGCTCTTCTCCACTCCCCCTTGGCGAGCAAAGAGGGTACGCAAAATAATAATGACAAATTTCGAAAGCATCGAGAAAAAGAGCTAATGTGAGAAACGACAACAACAACACTCACAGGGGTAGTTGGCCACATTCAGCGGAGCCTCTGCAAGAGCTGTCTTGACTCGCCCTCCTCTGCTCACAACCAAGCTACCATCCAGAGCCTACCCTAAAAGAATCAGAACATAACATCCATAAGAGGGCCTTTGCTCCGACACTACACCTGCCACTACAGCGGGTACGAGTATCTTCACTACTCATCGCACTCGGCACAGCAGTCGTTCTATTGCACAAAGAGAGGTCAGTGTGTGTGCATCGCTACGTGAGAGGGCTAGAATACCTCTCAGGAGCAGTAATTCCCTTTCTCGCACCAGAAGCAGTGCCTCGATCGGGAGCTATGTGATACTTGCTGATTCGATGCATTAGACCTCCACCGCTACGTGCTAACGACTCGTTACACTTCTTCTGGACCTTTTTCTTCCAGAGGCCCCCTTGCCCTCTGGCCTGATCACGACAATAATGTTCTGTGCAGGGAACACGGCAGGCGCTCGCATAGACCCTGTTACGAGTCTACCAGGTGTAGCTATACCCGCAATCGACGCTTTCGGCATGAGGAATAAATTGTTTATCTGCATGTGGTACTGCTGTAGAACTCGTAGGTCTACAACCTGGCTAGCTTTTTCTGCCCTAATGGGGTTGCTTTTTCATCCACTCACACCTTCGTCCACTTCGTGCTGGGGTGTCGGTCGATGCTCAACTCAAGAAGATGCTGCCGCGTCTCTCGCCGATGCTCCAAGGAAAATGGTGTTATGTGCGTGAGCGCGCGGAGGAGGGACGGCACAACGACCCGGAGTTGTGTTGTGAAGGAACGGCGCGCGAGCGCTCCGCGGCAAAGTGGTGGTCTCCTGATTGCAGGGATGCAATTCCTTAGAAACTTCCTTGAGGATGCGCAGCAGCCTACCGGTAGCTTTCGAAAGCGTTGTACATGAGCATATCCATTGAAAAATGTCCTCCTCCGCCAACCGACCTAGATACATACCTCGTTCGAGTTTCCTCGGGATACTTGCTGGAATACCTGCTGGACCTCTCCTTCCGAAGACTTACGCCCTATTTTTTTTATCGACGTCACTTCCAATCAGCACTCACAGCACTTGTTGCGCCGTTTACTCCAAAATACCAAGGCAGTTAGGCAGTGCCCCAATTGCAACCTCCCCAACAGCCACACAGCTAGGGTTGGGTACTGAACCAGTACGTACTGCCAGTGCATATGCACTGGCAGTGCATATGCACTGGCTGCGTCAGAAGCCAGTACTCCAGTACATTCATATATTCGCAGATTTCCTCTGTATTACGCCTCAAGAACCAGCGGAAACCCATATACTCAGACCTCCTCTGAGAGACACACCGCCACACGCCAAACACTAGCTACCAAACACGCCACAGAGGTCGGGAGANACATTCTTATATTCGCAGATTTCCTCTGTATTACGCCTCAAGAACCAGCGGAAACCCATATACTCAGACCTCCTCTGAGAGACACACCGCCACACGTCAAACACTAGCTACCAAACACGCCACAGAGGTCGGGAGACCATACAACGATGGACAGGTTTGTAGTCTCCCCTGCCAGCTCGCCGTCTGCTGCAGACCCCGGCAGTGGTGCTGATGATGCAGGGGGTATACGATAGCGTCGCTCATCAACCCAACTGATGGATGCCACTTGGTTGCTTGGGAGTAATATTATAATGTTTCAATATTTCCTCATGTCCAAAACCAACAAATTCAGTCGTTGAACTCGAACTTTCTATCGTTTTCCCCGCGATAGTGCCTCTGTCAGATGGGCCAAAATCACTCATTTTTTTTGCTCTAGTGAAGCCAAATCGCGTACAAAAGCGCCTCCGGCGGGGCGCCTCCAGCGGGGCCCTCCGGGGGCGCCTCCCGCGGGGCCCCCTCACCAGCCGGGGGGGGCCGATGGTCGCGGCTGCGCCGCGACCGCGCGGCTTCGCCGCGCCACCAGTGTACTGATCGGATCCAGTTTACTGGCTGCTGACGCAGCCAGTATACTTTTTACTGGCGCGCAGCGCCAGTACCCAACCCTACACACAGCAGTTACGGTTTGTCCATTGCACGACAACCAAGCGCCGCGCGCATCGCAATGTGGACGAACCGTTCGTGCACCACGCTCGTGGGGATGGGTGCATAGTAAGCAGCAACATTTTGGAGAGGATACAACAAACACCATCACACGCTCGTACCAACACAGGCTGGGGTGGCGGCGCATTTCACCATGTATCGCCGCGCGGTGGTCTTTGCCTGCAACACCATGCGGACGATTTTCAGTTGGATCTACCGCAAACGATGCTAGTTCGCAGCTCGGGTGTAGCTAGGCCACAGGAATGAAAAACCTACAAAATTAATGAACCAATCAAAGGCCTGTGCGTAGTAGTCAACATCATGGGAAGCGCACAAAACTTGCAATCCGGAAACCCGCCTTCCACGCAAAGCTCGTAGCGCTTACTCAAGGCTCGACAAACACACCCACTAGCCAAGCGCTGAAGCTTGTTCGCCACGGCCCCTCCCCCCCGTCTGCCCCTCCTTGCGCTACCACCGACAGTTCCGACCAGCAGGCAATCGTGATCATCGCCAACAGCGCGCAGAACCAGCCCCCCGCGAACGCAGCAGCCGCCACCGCCGCCACTGAAACATCGCTATCTTGGTCGTCTTCGTCGTGTGTGTCGAATCCCACGATCCCGTTGCCGAAAACTGCCTGTGTATAGATCGCGAAAAAAACGATTCCAGGAGGGGGAGCACGTGAACAAGGGGAATGGCGCGAAAGGGAAGGCACGGGGGCATGTACTCGATTGCCGATGGCCTGGACAGTCAATCATCTTGAGGACCACCACTTGATCCCCAAAGCCTGGTGCATCGTTAGCACCCGGACCTGGGTATGAGCAACAATACAGAGTTCCATAGGATAGGCACCCGCCCATGTGACCTTCTACCCCAATCGCTCTATTCAGTACGAAACCACGCGCAACACAGTACGCGCGGGTGCCGTTCTCCACCTATTGCTGTGCGATGCACTCCTCGCGCGGTACTACACGGAACGGTATCGGCAACCCGCAGAAACGTCCGACGCATGCGTGGTATTCTTTTGACCGGCGACAACGAGAGAATCTGACTGTTGCAGTCATGTTTCCACAGGACGGCAGTGGTTTCATCGGGAAAACAACATTTGTAAGAACGCCAGTCGGTTGGAAATAACGTGCAATACATACCCATACTACGGAATCACGGAAAATCCAGGGAGTCAGAGTTCGCGGGAGAAACATATAGGTACATATATCCCGGAATATTTACCGTTCGGAATGACGTTCGCGGTAGAAAAAAACATGCAAGATTGACCTTCTCATGGTCACCAATACGCGCACCCTGTCACGGAGACACGGAAGGCACCCACCCACCTACCTACCGAACTCGCGCCGACAGATTTTGTCGTCAAGTCAACCACCCGTTGAAGTAGGAAAGGAGTCGACTCACCTTATCCGGGTTGACAGCAAACGAGACACCGCCGCCGCCACCTCCGCTGGAGGACTTTTCTCGATTGTGACAGCGCAAGAGGAAACCCATGTGCCGCTTCGGGACCAAAGGCACCACGGCACTGGACGACGACGACGACGACGACGACGACGGTGGAGTTGCATCACCATATCGGCGTGTCTTGCTTCGACCGCCCGATGCATAGCTCGAATCGACGGCGGACCCACGGGCACGCCTGTACGGTGCCGCGCTGCTATTTGCGGCGATGCTGCCGGACCCGCTCTCGGAGATGTCGCTCACGGCAGCGGCGTTTTCTTGGTCCGCGGTGTGCGTCACGATGAGGCGTTCTCCGTCCGCAGACAGGGACAGCTCGCTGAGGACGTCTAGGTCGAGCCCTGTGGGGGGCGGGGGGGTACATCGAATGGCAGAGGGGTGCTTGAGTTTTTGGGAATGCCGGACAATAGTTTGCCCAGAGAAATTTTCTGGGTTGTTGGCGCACGATTGGCAGTAGTTGCATCGAGCAACGGTTGAAAAGGTGGGACGACAAAAAATGAAAGAGTGAAAGGGGTACACCACGGTAAACAAAATGAAAGCAGATTTTACGGCAAACCAGAGAAAATCAGGGCCAACTGCTGCCCACAAGCAAGCAAGGGCGAATCGGAAGATGCAATTGGTATCGCCAGCAACAACAACAACAACAACAACAACAACAACAACAACAACCTCACCATGGAAAACGCCACAGCCCAAGATGTGTTCCGGCTGCTCCTCATCCGTCCTCCCTTCCAGAAGGAATCCGATGCGGAATACCGCCCTCTTCCACTTCTCCAGAGTAACGTACAGGCCCTAAAATGCGCCACGATATCATTGGAAACAGGAAGTACTTGAGGCCCTGAATGCGCCACGATATATCACTGATTTCGTACATTGCTCAGACCGTGAAGGCGATATCATTGTTGACGTATGTTGTTCAGGCCCGAAATGCGCCACATTGGTCTAAGTTAGAACGCGCAGCAAGGGCGTAGCTTTGCGTCACGCACTAGAGCACGCAATAGGGGGTACAGGCTAGGCCACAACCAGCGTGGTTCAATCGCCCAAAGGTGAAAACAAAATCTCATTCCACATCGGGTATCCAGCGAATAGAGCCACGCTACGTTCCCGACTGCACTGCGAAACATAGTCCCCGATCCTCTACCGCCCAATAAATCGAAAAGCGGGAGCAAATATTACGACAAGACCGTGATAGCCGTGAAGCGTCGAGGCCAGTGAGGGCACGTGCATCAACACAACAAGCATTGCTTGACTAGCGTACACGCGGGAATACGCTTTGACCAGTGGCCTTTCGCAGTTGGAGAGGCAAGGTCGTAAGAGTTGTGAAAACTGCTGCGAGCCACGTTCGATAAAAAGGGGATGGCAAAAAAACTGCAAGGTGGGATGGGACAACAAAGCCCACAATGCTGACAAACCGGACACATCTTTCTACGGCCATCGGTAGCGCCAAGGCAAATTCAAGAAACGTCTCCTTCAAAACGACCACGTTAGAAACCAGCCCGGTTCCAAACCATTGCGCGCGCTCAACAACCCAGTACAACCCAGTACATTGCTTGCGGGAAGGTCAAGGCTAAGGTTGAGGTCATGTTACCTTGCGGCCTATGTATGAGAAGGCGTGAGCGTTGAGGTCGAGCTCTACGTAACCCGATCCCTTGACCATGCTCGATTCCTTGCCGTAGAGAAGGATCGGCTTCCCGCTGAATCGCCTCGCGATGCCCGGGAGACCGACCTGACATCGGTCGGAGGGACAAACGAACAGGCACAATGAGGTGCGAATACAGTAAGGGGGACGGTTTAGCGCACGCCCTGTTGAGCGACCACAAAACCACGTCGCACCGCCGCACCCCGGCAGTACAACTGCTATGCTACATAATTGGTGGTTCGGTTTAGCGACCTGCCCTGAATAGCGGCTACATTCCGCCGTGACATTAGGGGTCGCTAAACCGCCGCCCCCACTGTAGGTAAGAGTCTTCGACGACTTTGATTCGCCAACCCGGGGCGGGGTACCCCAACGACGTTTACGGTTTGCATCTTGTGGAGCTATGTACGCAACCCTACGGTGTTTAGAGCGCGATCCTTGTGTGGTACCAATCAAGCGTGTCATGACCACTCACTCTGCACACATTCTGCCTCTCCTCTACCCAAACCGATACCATCGTGCACCCCGTCACATGTGGCCACTCCCTGTCTCATGAAGGGAGACGTGGAGCCCATTGCGCACTCCACGCCACGAACATACAACAGAAGACGAGAGCCCGTGGCGCGTAGCCTGAAAACCAGGTCTCACATATATTCTTCGCATATTTTCATGCATGTGCTTGTTTCTCGGCAACACGTCCAGCTTCCCGAGCTTGGCCTGAAAATCACCAAAACACACCCACGCACACCTCGTCCATATTGACGATATCCCCAATAGCCTTGAACCTCCCTCGGAAGTTTCCGTCGTCCTGAGCGCGCCGCATCCACTCCACCAGCAGCCGCACCGACTCGGGAACGCCCTCAGCGTCACCCTCCCCCAGTCCAGCTCCTCCTCTCTCCGCCGGCGGGGCCCCGTGGTTGCTTCGTGCAGGAGGTACTGGACCACCATTCGCGGTAGCATCGCCCCCGCCGGTAGCGGCATCTCCCGAAGGCGCCCCCGATGCCATCGGTTCAACCGCTGCCGTTTCAGAAGCAGCAGCTGGCGTCGCCCCAGGGGAGCCCGCTTGTCCCTCCTCCCCGCCCCCCGTTCCAGCGGCGGCTGCGGCGGCGGCGCGCTCTTCGGCCCACACCCGCGCGGCGTAGCGGCACAGCCGGCGGGTGGCGTGGAAGGTGAGGATGATGTGCAAGGTCGGACCGTCACCCTGCACAGTGAACGGGGTCGGGAGGTCCGGGAGCTGGAAGTTCACCACCAGCACCGGGGGAATGTCCGGGTGTCCGGTATCGTCGCCGGTGCCGCTGCAACAGCTGCTGCTGCTACCGCCACCAGCGCCGCCGGGGCCCTGGGAGAGCGGGGGGTCTTCGTCTCCCGTTCCGGTCCGACGGGCCGCCTCCACAGAGTCAGTAGCTGAACCGTCACCCGCGGGAGTCGCCGCAGTTGGGCAAGCGGGCGGGGTGAACAGGGGGTATACCCCGCAGATCCTCCCAGCGGGGCTCCGGTAGGCGTCGATGCTGATGAGCTGGTACAGCTCCGGCGCGGAGGGAGCCTTGATCTTTGTGCGGCCGTATCCTTCAACGACAACGCCACAGAAAGGACAACAAGGGGACGGGGGGGAGAGGGAGCGCTTCGATCGAACCAACAAAGAACAAAAAGAGGGAAGAATACGTAGTGCGCTCCGACTGCTACGCTAGGGTACTTACACTACACTCCGCATTGCACTGCTGGTGGCGTGGGATGCTGGCAAAATTACGCGCGCCCGCAACGGCACACGAGTCGAACCTGTTGCGAGGATGCACGGGGGGCTGCGGCACGTTCCCGTGTCGGCCAAGCCAAGACAAAGTCTAGGACGTCCAACGCCAAAGTCGAACAAAAACGCACAGGTATACCACCTGGTACACCCACTCGTCAATACGCACGAAATCCTAAACCTGGCGTCACCTCGATATCAAGGCCCGCATCAATTCCTAAAAACGAGCGCCAAATCACTAGCCAGAACGCAGTGCAAGTCTTGTCTTGCGTGTGCGGCCGTACCTTTGGTCCTGACGTTGAACTGCGACCCGCTCCCAACCGCCCAAGAGTTCCACGGTTCCGGTGCCCCGGGATCGAGCGGCGACGAGTTGGGCCGTTTCGCGTACGTCGTTCCTAGCTGGGGTTTTGCCGGCAGCCCTGCGCCACCGGAACATGGAAGGAAGGAAGGAGTGAGCGGGCCAGCGACGGGTGTTTGTGTGCCCGCTGCTGTACGACCTGTACAGCACCACTGCTCTGGAATGCACTGCTGATACCCTTGTTTTTCTGTCGTTCTGATCTCGAGGTGCTCGAGGAGCGTGTTTTCAGCGCTAAGCATAGGGGGCGTTCTCTGATATTCGTTGTCCACCATTTGGGGCTAGCTTTGCGACCCCAACTCAACGCGTCTTCGCGACGAAGGAGGAGGTAACGGACAGAGGTTAGCACGGCTGTCAAACTCACACGCACACAGTTGTGCGCCAACGGGGACTACGACTCGTGAGTCCGTGCCGGAGCATCCTCACCGTATGCCAACAGCACGACTTCAACAAAACACAATCTTGCCATATTCCACGAGGTTTCTCAAAAGCGCACGAGTGACCGCACACACCCTACAAGGCCCGATTGCTCCACGGTCCCACGGGCTGCAAAAAGCGCGGGCTCGACAAGATCTATCTCGTCGAGAGCTTTCCTCACACGCGGTCGGCATTGGCACCCTTCGAGACCCTTCTACGTCGGTCTGTGGGGAGGTGCGTTGATCACGATGGCGCCGCAGTAGTACACACCTCGCTCTGCTGGCTCCACCGGCCCCCTCTTTGCGGCGCCCCCGTCCATCCCCTCGGTGACGGGCTTCCGTCCCTTGGAAGAACCCTCCGTGGACGCCGTGTCCGCCACCGGCGAGGGTGCACGAAGCGGCCGCTGCGAGGACGACGACGACCGGCCGCCGAAGGACCCGCGGCTGAGCTTGCTCCTGCCCCGCCGGAGCTTGTCCTTCCCGGCCTCGAGGAGCGAATCCCGGTGCCGATGCCTCCGGTGCTTCAGGGGGCTCGCGCTCAGCCCGCGGGCCGAGCCAGAGCTTGCTGCCGCCGCCGTTGCCACCGCGGCCGACCCCCCCGGCAGCAGCCGCCTCCTTCCGCCGGCCCCCTTCCGCCCACCGCCGGCGGGCTTCCCGGTCCCCGCACTCGCGGGCACGTCCTCCGCCTCCCCGTAGCTACCGCTGTCAGCGCGGTCGAGAGCGCTCGTGGAGTTGGACCTGTAAAGCACTTGGCGGCGGGGGGGGGGGGGGGGGGG